GTGGGGGAGCGCGGCGGGTAAGGGCTGTGCGACTGAGCGAAGGGCGCCCTTTGGGACCCCGGGGGACTGCGCTCGGTTCCAAATGACGCAGCCAAGCACCGGGATGAGGAGCCCGATTGTGAAAGGCGCCCTCGGCTGCGCCCGGGCTCTGCCTCCTTCCCCGCGCGGACGGACTCTGAGCGCGCATTGCTGTTTGTTTCACTTCCAGTGCTGCTCTGGCGAGAACGCCTGAGGTCGGTTTCCCTTGGCGGCGGGGGCTGCGTGGGGTCAGACCCCGGATACCAGGCGTCCCTGCTGCGTAGGTTCGGGGACGACATAGCCAGCGTGCCGAGCGCACCCCAAATTGTCCCCGCATTGTGCTCAGGTTAAATGGGATCGCGTCGTTGAAAGAACACGTTGAGGAAAAAGCTTGTATCCCATGAAAGCGTCAACTTTAAATTGCAACCTGACCTGTGAAATGAGGCGTGTTCTCTGCAGCCCAGAGGCCGTAGGTAGAACCGGGGACCCGCTTAGGATTGCTTGGCCTTTGTGTCTTCTCCTTGGCCCCCTCCAAGTGCCAGCTCCTTTTTACAGGACTGAAGACACTCGTCCAGGTTTCAGTCCGCTGTATGCTTTCACTTCGTCCCCTGGAAACAACTCGGAATTTTTCCAGTGTTGCAGTATTTTTTTTAAAAGGAAAAACAGAAAGGCTGTATAGAAAAATTCCTATCTGATGGGAGTTAATTCCAGGACTCTTAAGTGGAATTTTCTTTTTTTTATAATTAGAAATTCAAATCTGTTCTGTGTAAAAGCTGCTTCCTTAACAAAGCAGCCTGGAAGGATCTGCACCCTCACTGTCAGCTTAGCTCAGGCAGGTGACGGACTTGTTAACCGTTCCTGGACTCAAGAATCCGGAAGTGCAGTGCCCGGAGATGCCTGCCAGGACTCCGGTGGGTGGGTCGGGGGTCGGTCGTCTTCCCGAATTGCAGATTGCAAAAACGAGGTGGCAAGATCGGAAAATCCTCTGCAGACCGGCCTCTGCCTCCGGAGCTGCGGCGGCACAGAGGGCAGGGGTGGGCTCTCAGGGCGGCCTGCTCTCCCGTGGCGCCCGCCGCGCTCGGCAAGCCGGTGGTCCCCGTGACCCGGAGCTCGGCGCACAGCGGCCACGGACGTGCAGGACAGTGTGCTGGAGTGCGGACCTGCTCCTCGCTGTCGGAGGGCAGCTGATGGTTAAGTAACACACAGATCAGCCTTGTGAGTCGTCAGCCTCCAGTTTCCAGTGCCCTTTGGAAGCGATCAAACAGGGCTGGGGTTTTTGTTTAATTTTTTTTTTTAACGTGGCCGCCAGAAGGAACACGCGGACTTTGTCTTCAGACGGTGCTTGGCATGGATTGCGTGATCAGAAGAGAAGAGCAATTGCTTTTGTGTGACATCAGCTCGGGGCTTAACGCTTTCACCTCTTTCCCGCAGGGAAAAAGGTAGGAGTATTAACCGGTGCCGTGATCAGAAGCCTGTTGTGCGCAGCGCAGTTGCAGGGAGACCTCACAGCCGGGGGCCAGGCCCACCCGGCGTGGACCCCGCGTCACCGTGCAGGCATGAACGCAGGAAGGGCGTTTATCTGACCCTCGGAGGTCTTGTCCAGCAGGGGTTCCCCGGGAAGCGTTGCTCGGGATTTGAACTGCCGTTAGGAACCCGGCAGGTCTGGCACGTTAACGCTTGCCAAAATGGCTGTACCTTTTTAATGGCGGCATCTAAAGTCTCCAAAGAGCGTGTGGTAGGTGCCTCGTGGTACTTGGGGAGCAAATAAAGGAACAACTTCTGTTGCTCTAACAGAAGAGAACACTTACCGTCCCCTCGTCTGCGTCTCTGATGCCCCGTGACCTCCGGTACTCCGCGGCCGGGCCTGTGCTCATCTGTTCATATGTTCAGGGAGATTCCTCGTTCCCTGAGAAGTGGCTGCTGTCCCCATCTCCGCAGGGGTTAGGTGCCCCGCAGCGCCCACAGGGACGGGGATGCCCCAGGGAAGGCTGGGAGCTCCAGCTGCCACCAGGAGGCGCTCCGGAGTCCGTGGGAGAGGTGCCCTCCGGTGGAAGCTGAAGAAAGGGTTCTGAGGACCCTGCAGTGAAATCTTTTCCGGAAGAATTTCCCAGTAGTTGACTTGGCTGGTCGTGACTTGTCCTAACAGAGGCAGCGTGCGATGATCCCTTTTCACTGGCGGGTTCTGGCATTAAATATACCACAAGAGCACGCTGACTCTGCAGCTGTAAACATGATGTCTGGGATGTTCCCTGGACCCGCCATGCCTGCTTCATGCACTCACAGGGAAATGAACTTGCTCAAGGTCGCCGGTGAGGGCAGGGCATCCACAGGACCGTGCGCGGCTTCCGTCTCTTATCCGTGAGGCTGATGTGTGTGTGACCCTGGAGCCTTTGCTGTTGATCGACGGACCTCTTTTCAAGCTGGGTAGTGACGCGTCCCTGCCCACGGGGTGCGTGTGCTAGCCACGGAATTCCTGTGTGAAATCTTTCCTTCGCGCAGGCTCAGCTTTCAAGGAGAGAATAAAGGGGTTCTAGAGGCCATCGCTTGTCCTGAACTTGAGGGCAGGTCTCAGTTTTTACCCTTTGAATCTGCCTTAAAGGTTTGAGAAGACAACAGCGCTGAGTTGCGGATGGCAGGCAGGAGAAACAGGTGGGAACCAGGCCGTTCTCCCGCGGTTCACAAAGCAAGCATTTCAAAGGAAGGGATGAACCGAATATTTGTTTTTAATGGCGTTCCCTGGATGCAGTTGTCAGACTTTCTCATGGTCACAGAAAGCCTTGGCGGGAGGCTTGTCAAGATGCAGGTGCCCGGGTGTGGCCGAGAGTCTCAGGTGAGGGGGATGGGGGGATCCCAGGAACCTGCACTGATGCCCAGGTGATCCCCGTGCCCGGGGAACCGTGGCTGTGCTGTCCTCACCCCAGGCCCCCTTACACAGCTTTGGGGGACTCTGACACCATACTCTGCCCTGATGGTGAGCCCGAATGCTGGGGACAGGGCTGGGGAGGACGTGACCCCAGCGACTTGTGGGCTGCTCCGAAGAGAATCCGCGTGACTGCCACGGTCACGTTCACCCAGCGAGTTTGGAATGATGTTTTCCCTGTGGAAATACACAGGTGGAGATACTCTGCGGCTGGCTTGCCACGGATTATGCTTTATCCTGGTCTCAGAAGGGACTTTTGACTCTTTGCACAAAGTTAGATGCCAAGTAGGAATTAATGAAAAGCTGAGCCATAAAAACCCCCAGTGAGGGAGGGACGGGGGAAGGGTTAAGGAGGACGGTGTAAATCCAGAATGGTGAAGCCCTGTAGACGTGCAGGGCCCCGAGGATGCGGTAAATCATCTGTGAATCCCCGGGACCCTGTGTGTCCGTGGCCTCTCGACATTAATCAGAAACCACCCACTGAAGGCCTGGCTGGCCAAACATTAATCACAAAGCAGTGAATCTCAGCACAAGCACACAGGGGGGACTTTTTTCTTTTCGGAAAGGGGTTCAGAGAGGGAGGAAGAAAGCCAACTGGGGCGTCCGGGGTGATCTCCTCCTTCAGAAGGATGAGGGCACGGTGATTTGGAAAAGAAGAGGTCAGGTCGATGCTGGTAAGCGTCCAGGCGTGACCTGACAGGGCGACGTGGTCGATTTCCCGTTGCCACTGGCAGGAAAAGAAAAGTCACTTGCAGTAAAAATCTACACGAGCCCCTTTGCCCGATCTAGTATTCTTTACGTGAGGAGCCCGTCTTTGCCTGGCTCTCTCTGCGACCGACGTTCACCTGGGTAGTGCTTCCCTTCGGAAAAATAATCAAGGTAAGAGGCCAGGATGTTTAGGCTAGACTGGATGGTTCTGGGGTTATCGCGTTTTTGTTAAATTCAAGTCCGGTCTTTGCCGTGTTGTCTGCTTACAGACCGTGTCGCGGCTGTGCGACTCTTGCTAGAACACTTGGAGCCTGTTCTGAGAGCCCTGGTTCGGGTCCTGGCAGAAAGGGGAGCTCGGCACGGTGGCTCAGGACGCACCGGGGGCAGCATCAGGCCCTGGGCTTCTCACCCACCAAACCTCCCGGGGGCTGGGATTTGAACACTCCGTGCCCACGGGATTCCCTCGTCGGAGGCGCACACTACTGCTGCCTGCCTCTCCCTTGGACTGACCTCTCACGGCATTGGGGCTGCTGGAATAATTCATTCCCCTGAGTCCCGTAATTGGGGGCTCAGGGGAATTGTTCACTTTCTATATAAAAGTCTGAAGCACAATCATTTTCTCAAACAGGGCGAACCACGTAATTACATTCATTAATTATTTGCCTTAAACTTCCTTGTTGAGGAAAACAAGAAATTGGCACAGCAGACCTCGAAAACGGTGTTGTTTTATAATCGAAAGAAGGAAATCCGCATTGGTTAAACGGTCAGTGCCCTGGGTGTCCCGCACGTACGTTATCTACGTGTGCGAACATGTGTGAGTACGGACTATGAGTATTAACCACGTACACGTGCTACACGGGTGTTACATAAATACACACACACAGGTGTGTGGCTGACGCTCATAATAACCCATTTTACGGCTGGGGAAGCTGAGGCCTGGAGGGGAGAGAGCCTCTGAAGGCAGGGCTAAGATGTGAGCCTCTAAACCAAGATTTCAGGCGGATCTCGAGGCTCATGGAGTGCAGGCACTGTCCTCTCCCGCCGTGCCTCTGTCCCTGTCCCTGAGGGCTCCGTGAAGCCGGGAAGAACCTGTAAAATGGGGTGTGGGACACATGCGGAAGGGGGACTTTTTCTCTCCGGGGGGGCTTCCGGTCAGTTTCAAAAGTCAGAAGGTCACCTGGGGTCTGCTGGGTAAACGAATATGGCAGCGTGGGCACCAAACTCCAGGTCTGTTACCCGTGAGCATGAGGAGGTAGCTTCTTGCGTAAAACTGAGGACAGCAGCACCCATATCCGTGGCGCGTGCCGGGTGCCGCTTTTTAAAAAAATTTTTAACGTTTATTTGAGAGACACAGAGAGGGTGCGCGCGTGCGTGGGGGGAGGGGCAGGGAGAGAGGGAGACAAAGAATCCTAAGCAGGCTCCAGGCTCCGAGCTGTCGGCACAGAGCCCGACACGGGGCTCGAACCCACGAACCGCGAGATCGTGACCTGAGCCCAAGTCATGGAGGCTCAACTGACCGAGCCACCCGGGCGCCCCAGGTGTGGTTTTGGATCCTGACTTTATGCGCATAGACTGTATCAGTCTGTCCTTATAAAGAAATGCCTAACTGGGAACTGCTGATTTTTTTAAGCCTGCCGTTGAGGGGGGACAGAGGTGTGAAGAGGGGAGGGTCGTGGACATTTTCCTCCGGTGACCAGAGAGCAGGGGACTGGCTCCGAGGGAGCGGTGTAAGCCGTATGCCCAGTGCAGACGTCACGTGCGTGGGGCACCGCGCTCGGCTTCTGTACTCGAGACGGTTTTCTCTCCCATGCTGTCCCTTCGCAGGCCCGTCTAAGACGCCAGGACGTCGGCCTAAAACCCCACCTGGAGCAGCCGGACGTGGGCAGACCCTGCGGCGAGGCGGCCGACAGTGACAGCAGGCCCAGCTCAGGTAGCCCGCACGCCCCCTTTCCGTCACCCCTCCTGGGCCCCGCCTGTGTCCTCAGCCCGCCCCCGATGGCACGGCGCCCGAGCCGGGAGGCCCCATTACCAAGGGCCCTTGAAGATGCCACACTTCTCTCCTGACACCTAAATGTGCTTCAGAACCCGGGAGAGTGTGCACGTGTGTGTTCACGGAGAGAGGGCCTAGCACGGGAAGCACTGCTTCTGATGGAGGAAGGCTCGCCAGCCTCTCGCCTCTCCGGGCGGAGACGATTCAGGGTCTGCTCGGGCTGGGCTCGCGGGAGGTGGCGAAGAGCCGTTCCATCCGGCTCAAGCCTGTGTAACCGGTCACAGATGACGAGGAGCTGCCCGTGTCCCTTACTGTGAAGCTGCAGGGAAATCGTTCCGGAGCCATTGTCCAGGGCACGTAATCCCGTCTGTCCAGACGCTGGCTCGCGCGGCAAACCCAGGGGACCACGTCCAGCACTGGATGCCGTCTCTTCCTGTTGTAAACTTGCACAACCACGGCCTGGCCTGGGTGTGCAGTGTGTTCGGCAGGTCCGGGCTGTGGGGGGCCCCCGGTGGCCCCTTCTGATTGCCACCTGGGATGGACCCCACAGCGTGGGGGAGAGAGGGAGAAGGATGCCAGAGGCCTGCCCCGCAGGGGCCGGAGGTTAACGGTCACGGAACAACCACTCGCCGAGGAGGGGGGCGAGTGGTGGGGCGTGGGGGTTCCCACTGGCCTGCTCGTGGGGCAACAGTGGACAGTCATGGGGAGCACTCCCGGGCATTCAGGAGTCCCCGGCCACCTTCCCCAGGTGCCTGCCTTGACGAGATCCCAAAGCCCCCCCAGCACAGGGGCGTCCTCGGGCAGGAAAGGGGCCGCCGCCCGGGGGAGCGCTGACCTCCTCCATCCAACCTGTCTAGGTTTCTACGAGCTGAGTGATGGTGGTTCCTGCTCCCTGTCGGCCTCCCGCACGTCCGTGAGCAGTGACCGCGTGTACTCCTTGGGCACTTTGCTGCCAGCTGACCCCACGGCCAGGCCCCGGTCAGCCGACGACACCACCGTGCATGGAGCCCCCCTGCCCACCTGTAGACCGCAGGCCACCGAGGAGGGCGAGTGCCGGCCCAGGCCTGTGTCTACAGGTAAAGGAGAGCCAGGAAGGCGGGAGGCCCTACTTGTGGCGGCGAGCAGCAGGGCGGGGGAGGGGGCGGCTGTTGCATCACTGAGCACTGAGCCGGAACCCCGTCCGCGTCTGGCGCTGGGCTCGTCCCACAGGTGCCCCTCCGAAGTTTCTGTGGGCTTTTCTTGGTGTTTCGATAGACGGGAATCAAGGGCCCACTTCCGTTCGTTACAGCAAGTAACCTTGGCGTGACCAAAAGCGTTCTTCCTTATTACTTATGTGGACATCAGAAAGTTACTGTAAAAGTCCTTCAGGAACCTCACACAGCCTGATGGTGCGTCTCCGTAACTGGAGGGGGCTCAGGACCCAGAGCGACGCGGAGAGCGTTCATTTCCCACGTGGATGCCTCCCTCGCCCAGGCACAAGGGAGAGTCTCCGTTTTCCTTCGGTCCGTCCCGAAAAGAAAAGGCTTTATCTTTGGGCCTTGTTAGCTTTGTAGGAGCAGACCCGGCCTAGCCGTGCCTGGTGGTCCTGGTGGACCTTTCCACGGTCTCCTCTCCGTCAGCGCCTATTTGGGGGGGGGTGGTCCGGAGCCCCCCGCGCGGTCACAGGCGCCCGTCTCTCTGGGCACCTGCAGACGCGGGGTGAAGGCTGAGTGCAGGCTCTGCCCTGCACCTGCGACGGGGAGGCCCTGGGAAGGGGGCGGAGCTAGTGGCCGGCAAGACCCTTCCCCAGCCCCCCAGGCCCACACGGGGCACTGCGCCGGCCTGCCGCCCGCCGGGCAGGAAGTGACACTGGGGCTGTGCTGGGTTCTCCCCGATCCACCTGTGTGCTCGTCCTTCTCATTCCCAGGTGATCTCGAAAGAGTCCTGCCGTCTGCGGTGGTGCCGCAGAAAGCCAGCACGGACCCCACATCCGCGACCCTCCTCTGCCACGGGATGGGGCTGCCAGCCCACGGGCCGGACCCCAAGTACCGGCGTGACCTGGTGTCCACGGGGGGCAGGGAGGTGTACCCGTACCCCAGCCCCCTGCACGCTGTAGCTCTGCAGAGCCCGCTCTTCGCTCTGCCCAGGGACGCCCTGCACGCCGACTCCCAGCCACCCCCTAGGAAGCCCCCTCCCAGCCCCACAGGCCCGTCGATCCCGACAAGACCTGTCCTTGAGGCCGGCCCCGCTGCAGCCTATATAGACAGGCTACTGAGGCTGCGGGCCCGAGGGACCCCCGCGAGGAGCAGTGTGGGTGAGCAGGGGCCCCCATCCCCGCAGGCACTTGGTGGCCAGAGAGCAGACGGTCCAGACGGCCCAGAGAAGCTGGTGTGCACCCCCGGGAGAGCAGGAGCGGGCAGGCTGGCCCAGAGAGGGGACGCCAGCAGGGACCGCCTCGAGCAGCAGGGTGTGGGCACCCCGCGTCCCAGCAGCCTTCCAAAGGGGGGACCCAAGCCCTCCAGTGGCTGCGCCCGTGGGGACACCGTGCTGGGCTCCCCTCTGCCGAGGTGTGGGCGTGCCCAGGTGGCCGCCAGCAGTCAGGAGAGGACAGTCCTGTCGCCTGCCAGGAAGGCGGGAGGAGAGAACCCCGCTCTGGCCCCCGAGGGGTGTGGCCGCCCCCCATTTGCTGTCAGCGGAGCTGCTCTCCTGGGGCTAAAAGCGGGCGCCCCCAGGACAAAGGCTGTGAAGATCAGGAGAGGGGCCAGTGACAAGGTCCTGAGGTTTGGGGGGCAACCGCCAGCGGGAGGTGCCCTCGCCACCCCCCAGCTGCCTCCCGAGTGGGGGGCCGGTCTCAGGAGGAGGCCCACGCCGGCCGGGGTGGCGCCCAGCCGGTCCTGCTCTGAGCCCAGACTCTACCCCGTGCCCTTCCTGGTGCCCCTGCTGGTGGCCCGACGGGAGGCCCGCGGGGGCCCCGCGCTGGCCTTGTTCCCCTCAGAAGCGGCTGCTGTGGCGGCCGGGGGGGAGGCACAGGAACAGCGCCGGTGGCTGTCCTCCGTGGAGGTCTCGGGCGGCCTGGGGCCCCACAGGCCAGCAGTGAGCAGAGGGGGCGGGCAGCGGCCCGTGTGCGTCCGGGCCAGGCCCAGGCTGCCCCCCCGGGCCCCCCGCGCCAGGAGCGAGTCAGAGGGCTCCGAGCACTCTGCCGAGGGTGCCTCCCTGCCCCCGTCCGCTGCCACCGAGACCAGCGAGGACGACAGGGCCAGCGACCACACTGCCAGCTGCTTTGGGGACAAGGAGTCCAGCAGCAGTGACTCAGAAGGCGGGGCCTGGCCTGGGGCGCGTCCCCCACAGCTCCCGCGGGCCCCAGCCGCCCGCAGGCCGCCCCTGCCCCCCGTGCCCAAAGTGTGCCGGATCAAGGCCTCCAAGGCCCTGAAGAGAAAGATCCGGAGGTTCCAGCCGGCGGCACTGAGGGTCATGACCATGGTGTGAGGCCCGCAGGAGACGGCCCAGGGCGTCCCCGCCCGCGCCAGGGAAGCCGTCCTGAGGAACCGCGATGACAGCACGCGACCAGCCCCAACAGGTGGACGGCCGACCAGAACTTGGGAAAAACCATAAGAAGACTAGCCAAAGCGTCTGTGGGTTTGTGGACATTCATGTAACAGGCAGCTAGTTTCAGGATGTGGTTTAGAGATAAACATTTTAAAAAGCAACTGCGTTTTTTTTTTTAATTTTAATGTTTATTTAGCTAAAGTCGACCAGCGTGTGCGTGCGAGCAGGGGAGGGGCAGAGACAGAGGGGGACAGTGGAGCCCACGCCGGCTCTGAGCCGTCAGCACAGAGCCTGACAGGGGGCTTGAACTCACGACCATGAGGTCATGACCTGGGCAGCCCAGGTGCCCCAGTGACATCTCAGAACACAGAGGAGGGCCTAGGAGGGTGCCAAGGCGGTGCCGTGAGAGGTGCGGGGGCTGCTTCCTGCCGAACGTGGAGAACGCAGGCTGTTCCAAAAGAGAGTTCCAGGCACGTCTGTGAGTCCGGGTAGAATTCCCACTGTGCTTCCTGGAATCCGCTTCGTCACGGGTACGAGGGCCTCCCCAGCTTAAGATCTGCTCTGGTAGCTCAAGACTACATCAAACAAACGCACCTGTGATGGGGTTTTATTGGAAAACGTGTTGCACAGGGTATCTTATAAGGACCGTCTGTCCACCGTGGGGCACGAGAGGTGGCAGGCGGGGCCCTGGAGATGGGGCACACAGTCTGAGGGTCCAGCACTCCCCTCCGTCTGGGCGGCGTTCAGGGGTGTCCCCAGGCTCCCCTCCATCCGGGCGGCGTTCAGGGTGTCCCCAGGCTCCCCTCCGTCCCGGTGGTGTTCAGGGGCGTCTCCAGCGCTCCCCTCCGGGCGGTGTTCAGGGGGTGTCCCCAGGCTCTCCTCCGGCTCCCCTAGCAGGCCTTCCTAGGGAGACGGCCGAGGGTTCCACGTGTGTGGCAGGTTCTGCTCTGTCCTCATCGCTGTCGTGCGAAAGGAACGTTGCACGATTACAGGATTGGGTGCACGGTTCGGCCATCGGACACTTGTCTCCCGTCCTCCATGGGGCAGCCATCCTCGAGTCACGGGACGGGTTGGCCAGGCCGTGTGTCTCCCACCGGGACGCGTGGACTAGTGAGGAGGGGACACAGCGGGTTTGGGCCTCCCGGGGGGGGCTTCAACCGAAGACAGGAGGCAAATTGAAAGAACAGAGGCCTTTTTGGGGGGCGTCAGGATTGCAGCTCGAGAAAACACAGAGGGCTGGGGTCTGGGGAGGCTGGGGATATGGAGCGGAGGCTCATCCTGCAGGGAGCTGGAGGCTGACAGGTCCCGGGGTACCATCGGGGGTGGGCTGGCCCAGCACGTGGGGGGATTCAGGAGGGGAAATGAAGGAGGGCCGTCATGCAAGACCAGGCAGAGGCCACTCCGTCGGTGGTGCTACAGAAGGTGTGGTGGGGCAGAGACCCAGGGCAGGCAGGGCAGCGGGAGCCCCAGGACACAAGGACTCAGCGGGGAGGCTACGGGCCTGGGGAAGGGGGCGCCCCGGTGACTGGGGCAGGGTGGGGGGCACACCTGGGTCTCTGGTTGGCCAAGGTGCAAGCAGGGACAGAAATCAGCACAGCTGTCATTGTCACTGGGGCGGAGGCATTTGGGGCTGATTGTTACAGAAATTACTTCAGCGCCTGAACTGTCACTGTGGACGACAGCTGACTTCTGGCCGGGCTTCCCCAGGGGCGGTCACAGGTGAGGGCTCCCTGTCCCGGCGGGTGGCTGCGGGTGGGAGCTCCGTCCGTCTGTCTGCGTGCACGGCCAGTCTGTGGGAAGCAGCGTTGTGTTCGGAAAGGCCCTTACGGGGCTGCGCTGACCTGGGGCCAAGACAGGACCCCAAGGAGGCTGAGGCGCGGCAGGTGCCGGGGAAGCAGGTGCCGAGGGGGCGTGTGCATGCGTGACCAGATCCACCGCTGATGGCCGGCCGTTTGGGGGTCCCCAGGCTCCTTCAGAATCACCCACCCAACAGCAACACGCAATGAAAGGACACAAGGACACATCCAGTCACGCACTTGTCCCTGGAGACAACTCGGGGTTCTTACGGAAATAGAGCGTTCGAATCAGCATCTTTATTTCCATCTGAAGATTCTTTTGTCCTTCTGTTCCATTTGTTTTCCCTCTTATTTCCGTCTTTACCTCTCCCCAGCCGTGACCTCCTAACCAAGGAGGAAGTTCACCACGGACGGAACAAACCTTACGTACTTTCACTGCATCTTCCTTAATTATTTCCCCCACGACCATCTCTTGTCCCGTTTGGGACACACATGAAAGTTTCAAATTTCGGCCCCTGTGCCGCCCTTCCCCTCCCAGGGGACAGGTCATGCTGGCCGCGTCTCATACCCGGGACAGTCTACCCTTTCTGCTTCCCCCACAACTCACTCCTCGCGGCTGCACGTCCCAGAGCGGCCCCGAGCCGGCAGAGGACTGTGACAGCTGCCGTCGTGGGACGCAGGTAGGCAGCAGCGTGTGCGGTGGGGTTCACACGGACCCCTGGAGCGTCTATGCCCGCATGCGGCGGAGGGACCTCCTCTCTGCTGATCCGCACGGCTCGGGAGAATTCTGCAGGCTGTCTGTGATGAATAATGTCGTCTTTAATCCCTTCGTGATGCCTGGCGAGACACAGCTAATCTGCTTAAGTACGAGGCTCATCCTCCGTGGCCATGGATTTCCGCCCTTGCTTCAGTACATCTGGCTCCGACTGGTCATCGAGGAGGAAGAACTAGACGGTCAGCAGTTCCGGAAAGCCTGGCTCTCCCGGCGTGTTAGCTTTGGAGAGCACTTCCTACAGTGGCTCTGTGCGCTCCTCCTGGAGGCCGGCCTTCCAGCCCGCTGGGTGCCGCCCCCCCACGTTTAATTAGCATCTGGGTGGTCCCACGGCCCCTGGAGAGCTGGCGTCCCCGCCTCCTTCACGACAGGCCACACCTGTTGCTCTCCGACCCCTTCCCTGGGTCCCCACTACCCGCCTTTGGAGCGGGTCGCACTGTGGGAACTTCCTTCAATGGCAGGTTTGTGTCTGCAGGGCGTTTATGACACGAGCGCACACAGGCCGTGCCTCGCGGTAGCCGCCCAGATGCGTTCGCGGGGTGACGACGTGTGGAGTCAGTTTGCCAGGGTGCACTCGGATACAGCTGTGTTTGTCTTCGAGATTCGCCCCACTCCGTAAATCGGAGATGTCCAACCTGGCAGTGATGTGTGACTGGCGTTGGGGGAAGCATCTCACCTCACGCGACACGAGTCGCAAACTCCAGGTAAGGAGAGCAGGAGTTCCTGGAGTCGAATTTCATTTAAATTTTACTTCTGTTTAGTTACTTCCTGTCAAATATCTTTTCAATTTGCCAAAGTTCACACTGTGCAAAACAGTGGGCATTTTAGGATCGAGGGGTCTGGCAGATGGACAGAATTTGTTTGCATTTAAACGTGTTTGGTCAGGAGCTATCGTAAGTTCACCGCCAAAAGATGGTAGAGGCAACGAGGTGAACTGATAGGGATCCGTAAAAGAAAAGTCACTTCCTCGCAAAGTGTCTCCAGGACAAATCCCACCAGGGCCATGGAAATCCGAACCAGCCCCTTGATTGGCCGAGGAAGCTGAGATATGTTAGAAACCCATTTAACACGAAGACTGTACTTATATGTATAATTTAGGGGAAACAATAGTTTATCAAAGGATTGTCAGAGGCCCACGGCCGGAGGATGTCGACTATTTGCGTTAAGAGAGGTATTAATTAACTCTGAGATTTGCAGCGCAGTCGGCAATGGCTGCTGTTTATCATCTACTATTTATTTTTAACAAGTATCTATGATGAGTAGTTAATGTTCACTTAGCACACTTTACGAAGCGTTTCCGCTTTTAATCTGCGGCTCCGGTCACTTCTGCCGGGTACATACGGTGGACAGTCCTCTCTACTCTGTATTTGAAAGTGAAAGACACTAACCGGAAAATTGCCAAGCGGCTGGGAAGCGTGCACACCTGTCTGAAGTTACAGGGAGCACCGCGGACTGAGCCCGCTTGCCCGTGGTCCCCGCTCACAGTGCCTCGGGATGTCGGCAAGGCGGATGCGGGCCCCCGAGCACGTCGGCAGCACCAGAGCATGGAAGGCTCTGGTCTCAGGAAGAAGCTGGGGTCTGAGCCGAGCTCTGCAGCGAGACCTGCCCCGTTTCTGCCCTCCCGAACGGATTTCGGTTGTAGCACAGCGCTTAGACCCTTCCTCGGTTGTTAAAACAAACCCGGTGTGCCAGCGTCAGGCCTTACGCTACCCCCGAACGCTGAAAGTTGGGCTCCGAGTGTGGGTGCTGGATCTCTTGGTTTCTGTTCGTTCATCGCCTTTTTCCTATTTAAAAACATTTTAAATTTAGAAGTGTTTCAAACCTGCAAAAAAATGCAAAACTCGCGTATCAGTCCCTCTTGTTCTCGCCAACTGAATCTGACACAGGTTAACGTGTTGGCGGTTTTTCCTTCCTTCTCACTCACTGACGCTGACACCAGCCCATCACCATGGAGATCCCTTAGCACAGCTCAGTGCCTTCTGCAGGGGCCCACGCACACCCACGCCCAGCGATGCGACACCGAGCCCGGTCCTGCGCTGCTGCCTGCCGACCGCGCCCAGACTGCTCTGTCCCCTCCCGTAATGAGGGGCATCTAATGGGCCAGAGCCATCTCAGCATCTTTCCGTCTTCTCGCCCGGGTGGGCAAGAACTTCTTCTCTTTACAGACATCACCACATCCTCCCAGGTGGGACCTGAGCTCTTGTAGTGGCTTCAGGGGGGCTCCACAAACAGATCATCTCACCGCTCTGGAGGTTGGAGTCCAGAACGGGTCTCCCCCTCTTCAGGTGGTCCAGGGCAGGACCGCCCCCCTGCCATTCCAGCTTCCTGGGCTGCAGGCGGTCCCTGGTCCCTGGTCCTGTCCTCGGTCCACA